GTCCTGGTCAGAAGCCGGTATAGTGCCTGTAATTTAACATAGCTATTGAAAATGGCCATTTATAGTGGATTTTCCCATTAAAAATTGTGATTTTCCATAGTTATGTTAGTTTACCAGAGGGTAATTGGGATAATTAATGATCATGAGTACAACTGTTACCGGCCTAGTGGTTAAGATAGTGGTTAATAGTAGTTAGTAATGCTTGCTGTAACAGTTAATCATGGTTGGGATTCTAAGCTTCATAAGTTGGGATATGGGGCCCCTAAGGCCCCTATGGTTGTGTGGGCCTGACTTGTTTATGGTTCCACTGCACCACTACCTCAGAGTTGTTTGGACCATGAGAAAACCACCGGTTCCAGAGAACTCTGACGCTCTGAGCGAGCCACAATGTCCTGTTCAAAATTACCCTCTAGTTATGTCAAAATAGCTATTGCAAATGGTGATTTATAGTGGATTTACCCAGCTAAACAAATGGTGGATCTTTCCATAGTTATGTGACACTTTACCAGGCCGGGTATTCCTGAGTCAGACTATCCTACTACCTCATGGCATTGATGGGTTCAACAAGTGCAGAAATGAAATGGACGCTGAATTGATGAATAACCTATCTATCAAAGGATAATATCCTGGTAACTTCATTTACATAACCAATTGTAGAATTTTAGTTTGTTAATGTTTGTTATATCCCCATTCATATCCCTATTATTAATTATTGATGGTAATATATATATATATCCAATTCGATAATTTATATCCAATGATATCCCCATGATATCCCCGTTGTGGTAAATCCCAGAAGTACTTTCGACAGACATCCTCACGGCATTCCACAGGCGCAGCGAAAGAAGGTCCGGGACCAGCAGAACCTATCATCATGTTGCATTGTATCATTGAAAAAAATACCATCTGGTTATTTAACATAGCCATGGAAAATCACCATTTTTAAGTTCGGTAATCCATCTATTTCTATGGGCCATGGCTTAACCATGGCTATGTTAGTCATAACCAGGTTGGGTCAATTCCAAAAATGCCAAAACCACACCACCTGGCTGGAACAGATGGTGGAACCATGTGGAACCATTGCTGCTTCTGTTCGAAAAGAACATTATAGATATTATCTGGGTAAATTATAACGACCTCACTGCGACCTCACTGGAATCATGGTTAGTAAGGGAAATCATCCCCAAATGGCCTTAATTCAGGTTAGTGAGTGCATCTGCAAGCACACAGTGCATGTTCCACAGTGGCATCTTGTTCACCACATTTGCAATAGATAGTTTTCAGGAAACAACTGAAATCCTTAAATAGCGGGCCACAGGCCGTCCAGAAACTCGTACAATGCTCCTTCACATCTAGCCAGCCACGCCTTAAGCCAATAACTCATGAAAATTCATCGTATTTTGGTTAGTATCAAACTACAAACTAGGCATTGCCACTTCCCCAGGTCCCTGAAAGCCCCTCCGTTTTCCTAGGATCCCTCCTACCGCGCGCCGAGAAGGCGGGAAAACTGATACCTTAAGTTATGTTGCTTGTTGAACATCAACCCCAAAAACCTATAGTTCAATCCTCCACAAAGCCTAGCCATGACATATTTGATATCTGTTTCGGATTTCCTATCTAGCTTCACAGGGGGTTGATTGGGCAGCAAGTGGTGTCTTGGGGATAGAATAGGATGTATACATCAACATCATATAATATCATATAATTGTATCTACAGCCTCAATTTACCATACTGGTATATACTCATATTTTGATTGTACAATCCATGGACATTTGGTTGTTCTTGAGTTTATGATCATCGGTCCTAATTATCTATACTGAATTTGTGTGTTGTCATCATTCATCACCTATTTGCCTATTTGATTTACACTAAGTATACTCAATGAGATGCTATAATATAGCATTCATATAAACCATATAAACGTACCTAGACCCTCCAAATACACCCAAAGATTGTAAGATATTGTTAACTGGTTGGTGGTTTGGAACATTTTTTATTTTTCCCTATATTGGGAATAATTATCCCAACTGACTAATATTTTTCAGAGGGTTGAAACCACCAACCAGTTAAACATACTGTAAAATGATAAATGATGGGCCTAAGAGCCCAATTTCTATGGCAACCGGATGGTCTCCGGATGGTCGCTGCCGGCTTTTTAGGACCTCCACCGATCGACCATGGCGAGAACTTCCTGTGACGCAAGGCGGGGAAAATCTGAGACGTAGATGACAATAACTGGGCCTACCCCCATGACTTAGGATGAAAACCTTCATATACCCTCTGGTAAACTGTCACGTAACTATGGAAAGATCCACCATTTTATAGCTGGGTAAATCCATGTAAATCCACTATTTCTATGGTCATTTTCAATAGCTATGTTAATTTACCAGAGGGTAAATAATGTTGATATTAATAGAATTTTACCTTTTAGATCAAAAAAGGAATGCCCCAATGATGGTGGGAGGACCATTGTTTTGATCATGGCACAGATAATACTTGATGATATTTGTGGGGTGCATCGCAAGTACGGCTGGTTCGTGAATTGAAATATGGTCCATCCAACCAATGTGATTATGATCCCCCTTGACGAGCACATTTTTTTGAGGGTCGGCAAATGTTGATAAACCATGTACAACTGAAACTGGGGTATATCGGTAAATCCCACTGGGTCATCCATGTAGTTATTGCCTACTTACAAACTCAGATGCACATCCGAGCATTGTTTCTACCCTTTCGTGGTTCTGAGCTTGAAGATTCGGGGTCTGGCAATTTGCCACATTACAGACTTGATATTCTGGTTGGTGGTTTGGAACATGTTTTTTTCCATAATATATGGGATGTCATCCTTCCCATTGACTTTCATATTTTTCAGAGGGGTAGGTCAACCACCAACCAGCCTACGTAGCATGGAGTTTACCCTCTGACAGAGGTATCGTCTCGACATGTCTCGACTCTTCTGTTGAGGCGAGTGCAATTTTGTTAAAGGCCAGGTTTGTTTTCGTTTGATCTTTCAAGTTTCTTCATCTTAAATCTCAAATACATAAAAATGAAAACACAGCAAGCCTTTATTGAGCAATACAACCTAGAACAACATCTTTGAGCTCGAACAATGCTGTTTGATGTCCAACGAATCTTATTCCAACATGGAGCATGGGGACAACCGAAGATGTTGGATCTTTTTTTAATGCGGCGCAGCGGCGTTTTTTGCGGTGCAGTTGTTGACATCAAAACGACAGGGCTAAGTAATTGCCCATTTTATCCTTGTTGAGGAGCGTTCAGTCGCTTTCATCATATTGCATCATAAGCCTCTGCTTGTTGCGTTTGATTCATTAGATGTAAACAATTACACTTTTTTGATAGTTTTTGATTATGCGGATGTATGATTTTAGGCCACAACATATGTCACCTTTTTTTTTTTGGATGTCATTTAGATGTGTTTGATTCATCGTTGATGCACAGCCACAGCTACCATAGATGTAATCCACACTCAAACGCCCCAGGTTTCAGCAACGTGTGCTTGTACTTCCCTCAGAGACAGCGCCTATGTCCGGTGGTTTTGCTGATCAACATGAGTCCTAAATTATAGAAAACCCTACAGTGTGTATATACGTATATATATAATTACATATGATTAAACATGATTAAACTAAACATGTAGAAGTTTACAGTATGTCCGAGCAAAATTAAGTGATCTCATAGTTGTTCTACCTATCTGAATGGGGATTTGTTCTGGGGGGCAAACGGCAAGCTGCGTGGATTGGCTTTCGGTTGTATATAGCATTCATAGAAAGATTATAAACAAACAAAAATATAGCCTCAGGTTATTTAACATATAATATAGCTATGGAAAATGGCTGAAGTTACTGCATTTTTCTCCTGTGTCGCGAACTAAATCACCATCTATGTTGGTTTATCCCATCAATTATTGCTGATGATTCTTCTTTGTTGCATGTTTGCTAATTTTTTTGGGACAATGAGCCCTTGAGGTTTGGCGGCGGTTCTTGGCGTGGCGAGAAAAAATGGCTGTCATATGCTGTCATACTGTTCGGAATGTGGGTTTCAAGATCCGCCCATGATTTCGAAGCTTGCTGTGGAAGAATCTTCCAAAGAATTGGAGCCATTTTGATGATGTCATGATGTCGATCAATCATGATCAATCTACTGTTTTTCTTTGCTATGAGGTTGATTTCAAAACCATTCTGTCTGATGTGTGCTCAGCAAATTGTGCAGCTTTCTTCTACAAGGTGGTGCCCCAGTTAGCGAAGTTGGTTTTGGTAGCTGGACTATCTTTTATGGACATTTGTGGGTATTAGCACTCTTTAGAACTATGTTTACATGGATCTTACCCTCCGGGAAACTAAACTAACTATGGAACATCGCCATTTTAATGGGTAAATCCACTATTTCTATGGCCATTTTCAATGGCTGTGTTTGTTTACCAGAGGGTATCAACCAATAAACATCACGTTTGGGGTCAGCATCCAGGTCGGGTCAAGATCACGACTTTGCCCCACCTTTGCCTGCAGCGTTAGCAGATATATCCACGTTTGAGACAAAGCACAAAATCATAGCAAATTTAAATCTCAAGTTCTTGACCCATCAGAAAACAAATCATAGCAATTCATAGCATATATCTATATACAGTTTACCAGATAATGATACAAAACTATATAAAACTGCTAGCCTCCAGTATGTTTTACATAGATATAAAACAGCCATCATGGAAGTAGATCATCTTCTCAGGGTCTCTTTTGATGGGCCGTTTCCACAAGTCGCCGATAGACCAAAGTTCACCACATTGGTGAAATCATGGATAACCATAGCAAAACCATAGGAAAACCATAGGAAAACCACCCTTGGAATTTTAGCAGCAGATCAGTTTAAAACTTGTGATGATCTGTGATGACATATGCCATTCCCCAAAACTAACAGTTCGACCCTGAGAATTACACAGTTTTCGGTTAGAAAGCAGTCTTCCAAAGCCATAGAACTGGCAGGGTCTCGGGATGCAGCCTGTCAGCGATGGAGCTTGGCCCTCCGTCGGGCGGAGGCACGCTTTGAATGTGTCAAGGTTGAAAGGGCGTGGGGCATTGGAATGTGTCCTAAATACGGGGAAATGCATGGACATGTAGCCAAAACTACAGTGGAACGTCACAGATACACCTCAAGTAACTTAGCAACTTTACAGGTGAAATGATGATTCATCAATGGATGGTAGCCTATTTGCAAACAAACCCACATTGTTGCTCCAGTATAGAAGATCACGGATGATCACTGCTGAGGGGTCTATTGATAACATTGATCCAGCGTGCTCGCAGGCGAACTTCAGAGTCAAATCTCAGATTTCCAGCAAACATCAGGCTTGCTCCAACCCATATGTAAATCAAAAAGTCGCGTTTTTTGTGTTTTTAATTGTAAGTTTACCTCTTCTAGATATTTTGGATGATAGTAGCTCATGATCATAATCATTACATAGCTGTTCATCATCTAAGAATATCTTAATAACTTACGACTTATAAAGATCCATATATGATTTATGTGATTATGACTCATGACGATCTACATAGGATCTATTTTCTTAGACATTATGAATTATGAATTGATAATCTATTATTATTTAGATGTATCAGAATAGACATATATATATATATATGAACACTGTGTAATAATATAATATATACACTGTGTAATAATATATAATATATACACTGTATATATACATATTATTGTTATTATTATTATCATTATTATTATTATTGTTATTATTATTATATATATATATATATCACATATATGTATATATGGATCGATTTCCCCCGTTGTGGCTCTTGGGACAGACTCAGACTGCCAGGGCCTCGCAACTCTTCAGTCCGAGCCATCCGCAACATCTGCGTCAATTTTCAGTCGGACCAGCGAGGTACAGGGGATCCGTTTTGGGGGACAATTTATGGATCAGTACCATACTGGTGAGTTTTCCATAGTTTCCCATCATTAACCATCATTAACCATCATTAATCATCATAAGTGACCTTGAGAGAATATGGGTATGGATCAGTACCTATTAATACCATTTTTAGTGGGATGAACATCCATTTATCAGCTATTTTGATGTGAACTACAGGGGTACTATTGGTTTTGACACACTGCCTGATGATCATAATAGTATATTTCCCCAACATCATTGTGACATGATAACAATTGTATATAATTATGAATTATGATTGGATATAAGATCATATTACAATTGTATCATAATAATATCATTGATGATTGTGATATCATTCCCTATGGATCCATGGCCACTGTCTGAGAAGGTACGGCTAAATAACCCCCTAGTCATCATACCCCAGTCACACTTCCTAAGAAGGTACCGCTGGATCCATAGGGGTTATATGATTGTGTTGTGATTGTGATGTTATTATAATATAATTGTCATATGATTATGATATGATTGTAATATGATTGTAATATTATATAATATGATTATATTACGATGTCTGTATTGATGATTTTTTGGGTGTTAACATGGTTAACTAGGTTTGTCTAGCCATTCAACTCTACTTAATGGGGTGTATAAACCATTTTGGGGAAACATCATTGATAATGATATATATTATATATATATGATGATATATAGTAGTATTTGTGTTAGATATGTGGGCAAGAGGGGTAGCCGGGTTGTGACCCAGCTCAAATCTACCAAATCTTGCCCGATATCCCCATTAAAGCCATTCATCGCATCAAAGCACGACCAACACCAAAAAAGAAAACAGCTGTTTTGAAGAATATATATATATAATATAAATTATATTAATTATTCGATCAGTATCATAAACAAAACAACATATGAGTAACTAACACACATTCACTATATATGGGCTATTCATATTTGAATATTTCAACAAAAACACATTAAGAATAGCACTTGGTTGGATAAAACAAATCTGTTGCGGCCAGGTGGGGCTCCAGCCTGGACAGGTGGGGCCTGAAGGTTTTTCATTGGACTAAGGATTGATTGGTCGGATTCCCAGTGAAATGTTATGAGTTCTGTAGTTCCGAAAGAAAATCCTCAGAGTTTTGGATGTGGCCTGGGAGAAATGCATCACACAACTCTGTTGAAATCTCATGAAATTGAGTTGCGTTTGAATCATGATTGGAATAACCCTCCCACCAGGTGTTCAGGAAGAAACAACATGCGCAAAATACCCTCAAATGGAAATGTTGAGGGAAATTATCATTACCCATGAAATTCGCTGGGTTTCTCATGGTTTCCCTCAATTTTCAGAGAACGCCAAAGAAGAATTGGCCGTTGGCCGTTGGCGTCCAGAAATTCCCCTCCGCGGCACAAAGCGCAGGTCGACTCCAGGGGGAAGCTGCTCAGGCTCGGTGTCGTGGTTTAGCCAAGATGTAGGAATTGGAGCACAAAAGGCTGAGATTCACATGACTGAAGGCGTAAGACCCAAGTCTGTGGTTTTTTTTTGGGCCTCGGTGGCTCCAGTATATGGTAAATGATAGGGGTTTTTACCTCGATTACCCAATTTAGTCCTGCCGGGGGAGCAACCCTGTGATTAGTTGTGGATTTCACATTGTGGAAGCATTTATCTCAAGCTGGATGACCACAAAATACAGCACACTTTTTTAATAAGCAGCACCTGCACGATTTGATGAGCTTCCTTCATACCTCATTCTCATCCTGCCCATTTTCAAGGTTCTGATGCCATTCGATTCATTAGATACCCCTCTTGGAAAATCGACGGGGTTATAGTGGAAAATTGGAGATCATGAAACACGAAAGATAATTAACGGGATACCCACTTACCGGTAAAATTGGATGGGAGAGGAGTATCTTTCAAGGCTCAAGCCTTTGGATCCTATTGTCTTTCTTGTGACACGATCGTTTTTGTCGGAGATCCTGTTGGATGATAGAAGATGATTATGGCACCGCCCCAAAAAAATAGATGACAATTATCATAGTTAGAAAAAACAAAACAAAAACCTTGTAAAACCTTGGTATATGTAACTTGTTCACTTGTTCTATCGTTTTTTGTTTTTCTTAACCATATGCGAACCATGGTGCTGGAGCATATGGGCTGCATCCTGGTGCCACCGGATTCCCACCAGCAACGGCTGCTATGGCTGGTCGAAACGCTTGGATGCTGTTCTGAGATAGCTACAGCTATAAGGCAAGCCCCAAAAAGGATCAATCTTAGAACAGGAAAATCTCACTGAAATAGCAAGTTAAGTAGCTTTTCTATGCTTTTCTCTCTTTTTGAGGCTTACGGATGAACTACGGATGTATACAGAAATCCCCTTCAAATGGCTATCGTTTTTGGGGAAAATCATGCAGAAAATCGATACGAATCGATACGAGTTAAAAAGGGTACTCCAGTTTCAGACAAAAGCCATATCTTAGCATAATAATACCAAACTTAGGGTCAATAATTACCCAAACTTGGACAAAATACTATACCTCTGAGGAAAACGTGGTAGAGCGCCATGGCTTAGCGCCATATCATTTGATGTGGTTTTTCCCCAAAGCCATAAACAAGTCCCATTAGGGAATGGAATCGCAGCCAGATCAAACCATATTAGATTCCATATCTTCAGGTACAGACATAACATTATCAACCATATTGTTATACACACCAAATATTGTAGATCAACATGTCACAATATTATACCAGATATGCCATTATTATCAACAGTTATTCATATATTATAGATACACATTATTATATTATATATATATTATATCATATCATATTAAACTATATTACATTACATTATATTACATTACAATATATTACATTACATTATCTTATATATATACCCTACGGATCCATGGCCACTGTTTGAGAAGGTACGGCTAACCCCCGAAACGTCATCATACCCCAGTCACACTTCCTTTTTGAAGGTACGGCTGGATCCATGGGGTACTACTGGTTGGTGGTTTGGAACATTTTTCATTTTTCCATATATTGGGAATAGTAACCCCAAGTGACTTTCATATTTTTCAGAGGGGTTGAAACCACCAACCAGTATATATATAATAGCATAATAGCATAACATCATAACACATTCTTCGTTATGGACACCTTTTTGTCCATCTCAAGATGCTGGATCCAGGTCCGCGCACCTGGCGCACCTGCACGGCGGGGAGACACAGAAAGATCGGGTATCAATGGTATTGTGAGCATGGTTGATCTAAAATCTATGATAGATAGTTACTCTGTATGTGTATATATATATATGTATTCATATATACATGTCACGAAAGGTAGCTCCAGAGGGGCTACCTTGAGTTTTACTTTACGAAGTAAAGGGGAGGGCGGCCAGCCCCGTTACCTGATTCTTCAGGAGATTGCTAGTCATTTTAGTAACCCCCCCCCCTCCACACCTCCCACGCACCCTAAGAGCAGACTCAAAACATTGTAATTTACAGTATTTTTGTTCTTTTCGGATCAAGAAACCACATTTTGCTACATGGTGAAACCTCCGTAAATACCAGTGTTTTTGCTAGGTGCTGGCCAAAAAACACTGTAAATACCGTGCTTTTTACTACCAGAGGCAAAAAACATCGTAAATACCGTGGTTTTGGGCTTCCGACCCGCCAAAAACATCGGTATTTACGGTGTTTTTTGCTCCGAGAGTTGCAAAAACACGCGAAAACACCACCGATTTGACGATTTTCGGCCACTACGGAACCGAGCAAAAACGCTGCAGGGGTAACACCAACACCAACAACAACAACACCAACAGCAACAGCAACACAACAACGACGACAACAACAACAACAACACCAACACACAACGCACAATGCACAACGCACAACGCACAATGCACAACGCACAACGCACAACGCACAACGCACAACACACAACACACAAAACACACAACACACACACAACACACACAACACACACAACACACACAACAACACACAACAACACACAACAACACACACACAACCACACACAACAACACACACACACAACAACACACAACAACACACCACAACACACAACAACACACAACAACACACACACGCAACACACAACAACGCAACAACGCAACAACGCAACAACAACACACAACAACACACAACAACACACAACAACACACAACAACACACAACAACACACAACACACACACAACACCACACAACAACACACAACAACACACACAACAACACACAACAACACACAACAACACACAACAACACACAACAACACACAACAACACACAACAACACATAACAACACACAACAACACACAACAACACACAACAACACACAACAACACACAACAACACACAACAACACACAACAACACACAACACACAACAACACCACAACACACAACAACACACAACAACACACAACAACACACAACAACACACAACAACACACAACAACACACAACAACACACAACAACACACAACAACACAACAACACACAACAACACACAACAACACACAACAACACACAACAACACACAACAACACACAACAACACACAACAACACACAACACACACAACAACACACACACAACAACACACAACAACACACAACAACACACAACAACACACAACAACACACAACAACACACAACAACACACAACAACACACAACAACACACAACAACACACAACAACACCATCAACAGCAGCAGCAGCAACAATAGCAACAACAACAGCAACAACAACAACAGCAACAACAACAGCAACAACAACAACAACACGAACACGAACAATACCAACACCAACAACACGACCAACAACACCAACACCACCAACAAACCCAACCACACCAACAACACTAACAACACTAACAACACCAGAAACACTACCACCACCAACAACACCAACACCACCAGCACCACCAACACCACCAACACCACAACCACCACCAACCCCAACCACATCGCCGAAGCCTTTCAGTCGCTTTTAGCAGACTCCCCTTCATATTTTTGGAAAGAAAATGGCCGCGTTGCTTTTACCAGACTCCACTTTATGTATTTTTCCCTCCCCTCTCCCCTTCATTTTTTCTTCGGTTCCTTTCTTGCTTACCTACCTTTCGTGTTCCCCCTCTCAAGTTATATATATGTATGCATAAATATGCGTGTATATGTACACATATATATATATATATAGGTGACTGGTCACTTAGCCAAGAAATAAAGAAGCGATAACATTGTTTTGCTGCGGGGCATGTAAGATTACTTAGGATAAAGGTGCTTGTCCCGCCTGAAAGCCTAACATGGAAACCCTGAAAATGGGGTTGTAAGATGATATTCCTAGCTGATGGGTGGTGCGGATGGGAATTTGGATGTCAGGTCTGTTGCATTTAAAGATGCACAGTTTTGACCATAAACAAGGTTCACGCGCCACTAGTGTTTCGCTTAAGCCAAGTATCAAATCGCCTCGACTAGGGAAGATCCAGTGTGTGACCGAGCTTGTACTTTACTAAATGAAATCGCTTTCAGGAAATTCCAATTCATTTTTGACTCTATTCCTGGAGACCTGAAATCAATGAACACAGACACACTGGTTCCAAGTTCCCATTGTTCCATTTTTTTCTTCTGAGTGATTCCCAGTGGTATTTGTTCGCTATCTCAAGTCCCAGGACCTTTTTTGGGTGTAGCCGAAAAGGGAAGCTAATGAGCAGCGATGGAACATCCCGATTGCCAGAGGTTCGACAAAGTTTCAACTCTGGTTCTATTGAAATCATCATAGTTAATAGTGATCACTGGTAATCATGATCTAGGTAATGATAATAATGATCTAGATTATTAATAGTGATTATCATGATCTGGTAATCATGATCACTGGTAAATATTAATAGTGATCTAGATTATCTAGGTAATGATAATAATGATGATCACTGATTCTATTGAAGTTTATCGGACACTATTGAAATTCATACTGCATTTGACAAAAAGATTCTCAGGAGGATTCTCAGACCCCCCAAAAAATGCATCTGGTGATACCTGGTGTCAAATTGTCCAGCCTAATCCACCAAATCCCAAATATTAAAAATGGTTACTTTCCATTGCTATGTTAAATAACCAGATGGTATATAAATATATCACTATGATCATCTATGAAATTACCATGATTTCACTAGAATGATTCTCCATGATCACGATTTTGTCACCACAATTTTCAATAATAATGATAGGGATCTTTGTGAACCTTTGGGGATAATGATCTTAAGAATGATCCTCCATTACCACTATGATCACTAAATATTCTATAGAATATTACCACTATATCACTAATAATCTCAGAATTATTCATCTACAATTATGTGTAATCACTATAGTCACTATACTATCAATATTATCATCACTAATCAGAATAAATAATCACTCTTGTCACTATATCATCACTATAATCACTATATTATCACTATAATATCAGTTATCATCATTTATATAGTGATAATATAGTGATTATAACTATATGTGGCTATCACTATCATCACTGAATTCGCTGGGGGAGTTATAATCAGTTATCACTATATTATCACTATAGTCAGTTATAATCAGAAGAACTATATTATATATATATATCAGTTATGCTCACTATAATCAGTTATCACATGTTATCACTTTTATATTCAGACTGAAGTTGTGACTTCCCCCAGCGACTCAACCCAGGCCCTAGCCGCGTTGGCCTGGAGTTTGCGCCTGGCTGTTTGGAAGGCCTCGGAAGATTTTTCTAGGCCATGGATCAAGCGTAAGTGTGAACATTCCACAAACGTACCTGCATACATATTGGATATACCCTCTGGTTATTTAACATAGCCATGGTATAGATGGTCCATAGAAATAGGTGGTTCACCTAAAAATGGTGATTTTCCATGGCTATGTTAAATAACCAGATGGTATATATATATACAATGTGAGGCCCCCAAACGATAGCTAAGTTGGTGAACATAGCTCCAATAACTATGGTTTATGGTACTTATAACTATACTTACTGGGGCAAAACTAAACCAACTTATAACTGGGGGGGCCACAATGTATACATGATTATATATGTATATGTAGTGTCTGGCTACTGATGGCATTGTTCCAACTAAGGCAAGCCTTAAATTTTCCACCTGAAGCCCAGCTTTGCTCGACCTGAGGCGCGCTTTTCGCGCTTCATTCATGGACATTCGCGGAAGACCTTACAGGTGGCACCGAGCGGTCGTTGAAGAAATCGAAAGTGCTCAGTCATAGACAAGTCCAGCAACAGTTAATGATGATTAATGATGATTAATGATGATTAATGATGATTAATGATGATTAATGATGATGAATGGTGAAATATGTCCTAAATGCTACCAATGCCTTTGCGATGACTTTGAGTCTGACATAGCTCATATTGCTAGCATTTAGTAACCCGGACCAATGTTTGCAACCGCATTGTTTGTTGGTGATTCGTCCTTCGTGCTGATTCAAGATCATTTAAGTTGCCAATATGTTCGTTGCTCCCAGCATCCCCACAGCAGGGAATCCCAAGTGTAAGTTGCTTGACAACCCCATTTAGGTGTATATATATATACACACACCATAAATCCAACAGTTCGCCTAGTTATATCATAAATGTATGATAAATCTCATTTATTGTTGTTTAGAGTCCCATCTTTAATAGTTAAATTTCATCTTTGGTGGTCAAGTTTACCTCGTCAGTGGTGAAACTCACCATGCTCAGTGCCTAAAACCATAGCTGGTTGGTGGTTTGGAACATGAATTTTATGACTTTCCATATGTTGGGAATGTCATCATCCCAAGTGACGAACTTATATTTTTCAGAGGGGTAGGTCAACCACCAAATAGTAAAAATGCATAATATATGGGATAATCATCCTTCCCATTGACTTTCATATTTTTCAAGATGGTTAAAACCACCAACCAGATACAATGATACAATACCCATAAACCATACCCTCTGGTAATTTAACATAGCTATTGAAAATTGTGATTCTCCTAAAACCAGAGTATACCATAGTAAAAAACCAGCCATTAACCACCCACCATTAACCACCATTAACCACCATTAACCACCATTAACCACCATTAACCACCATTAACCACCATTAACTGGGGGGATCCAGATCCACCTCCTTCCCTAAACCGGATCTGCAGGGCTTGCCCGAAGTGCCGGACCTGGACCTCAACGTCCTGCCGCCGGTGCTGCCGCAGCGCCGCGCCAACGTCAGCGTCACCAAGAAGGTGGGGCGAAGGGCGAAGGGTCAGGGCGGTTGTGAAATGATGGTGACATCCTTGGAAAATCTTGGAAAATCTTGGAAAATCTTGGAAAATCTTGGAAAATGTCAAAGTTCATAATTTTGAAACATCTATAAAGTATATTATATACATGATTTATATATATATATAAACAGTAGATAAAATTTGGATGGTTCAAACGTGTCCAGATACCATAAACTATAGGTGGATATGGGGTAATTCGAAGGGTGTAACCACTTCGTAGGGATGCTCCTGTGGCTTTTTCCAAACCAATTGCATATCAGGTTCCATTCAATTTTGGCAAGCGTTTGACATGTGTAGATGCGTTCCAAAAACATCAGGACATCAGGTTCTTTAATACCCATATGCTCCATGGTGCTGGAATATTTACCAACATGTGTGTAACATGTGCCCTAAAAATCACCCAGTTATGTAAGTAAATATACCATACATGGAGCATATGGGATATAAATAGATGCGTTTCAAACACATCGGCGGCTTTGTCATGTGAATTCTGTTGCGTCAGTTTCAACGTTTCTATCGATCCTTTCCAATGAATCCAGGTGTGGCGCAAGATCGTGCAGCTGGGCGGAGGGCATCCAATTTTGGGAGTCGGAGTAGCTCCAAACGTCAGAGTTCTCCTTCATTTCGAGCCCTAGAATTGTCGGTACCCTCTGGTAAACTGTCACATAACTATGGAAAACACAATTTTTAATGGGTAAATCCACTATAAATGGCCATTTTCAATCGCTAGATTTACCAGAGGGTAATTCTTGCTTTTTTGTTGGAGTCAGGTTCCGAAGTTGATCAAGACATGAAAAGAGCCTGGCGTTGGACTTGAAAGGGTGTACCTACTCACACCACTGAAAATTAACGGCAGGGAAACTGTGCCAAAGCCTGTCGAAGAAATAAAGCTGGATTGGAATCTTGGAGGGTGATTCTTCTGGCGGATATGAGCAGTTTCAGGTTCCGCATGTGAGGGTTGTATGCGACAGTTTGGGGTCATTTTTATATAATTACTCATCCTATAGAACAATGATTGGATGCTTCTGAGCCCATAGATCAGAGTTGCATCGTTGTTTGAAGTGAACATGTGTTGTTCCACATGGACATGGAACATGTGTTTTGGGAACTGGGGGGTAATCACAGCTAAATGCACCAGCTAGGTCAGCCTTCTGGGCAACATGCCACAAAACTACTAATCCTCTGATTGGAACGACCTCAATATACTGATATATGAGCTTAGTAAGGGTACTATCCCGAAGTGACCTTACCTTATGTTGGTGAATGATCATATGCATAATTAATGCAGATATGTGGTCTGAGGATGGGAATAGAATCATATTGATTGCTGCTAAGGTATTGGGCGAAGGTTCGAGACCAGATGAGCAATCGCTTGAGTTCAGAACTCAGCCGTTCTTTATTGGATAATTCCATTTGGATCAAATGGGAGATGATGGTGTCTATGGGAACTGATTACAAGTTGAGGGGGTTCTTGGAAGTCTTTCTGACTAAAGTGATATATAAAAAGCACTCTTTGATTGGGTCAAATTAACCCAGCTTTGCAACCCAACAGCAGGTTCCAGGATTTCAGCGTTGCGGTTCCGTTCCAGTTTTTGGGCTCGGCAAAAACCTCGCACCATTCCCAGACCCAGATAAACCCAACAGTCACTGCAGTTGGGAATATCAGCTTCACGATCTTCACGATCTTCACGCTTGAAACCAAACTGAAGTGTATCCCCATCCTAAAACTGAGAAATCTGAGGTTATAGCTCGAAGGTCGGTTTGGTTCCCAAAGCCTGATCGTCAGTGACTGCTTGAGGTTACATCAATGGCGACTTCGAACCGCTGAAGGTGCCCCGTTGGAGGTGGACTTGGATCGTTTGATTTACTGCAGAACTTCTCCGGCTGGCGACAAGCCACCCATTTATAGATGATTTTCCCATGAAAACCTCCATCTATTACCCTCTGGTAAACTAACATGACTATGGAAAATCACCATTTTCAATGGGTAAATCCACTATAAATGGATATAAATGGTAATGTTCAATAGCTATGTTAAATTACCAGAGGGTAGTGGGTTTCCAATTGCCCCGATTGATTACCCGAGGGTATACATAAATGATCTTAAATGACGAATTCAGACTCAAACAGCTAAAGAGAGGGCGAATAAGTCCACCCCAGCGTTCGCGTCCATGTGCGAGTTTATTTCATGTTATTTCTATCCCATGCGTGTAGCCTCAATCTAAGGTGGCAATGATTGAAGTACTGATATAGAAAACCTGGACATTTAACATGAGACGTTCAACTGTGCCATGACAAGTCGGTTCGACTCCTTGATTGCGTGGGGATTTTGAAACAGTCATTAGTCCCTCAAACGACCAGTGAGTTTGGGGGATGAAAGTTTGTGAACTAAGCAAAGCTTACATTACTAGGTTCGGTTTAGCCATGCACTTTGTTCCTGAATGGATTGAGTGACGTATCCTTTCATATCCTTTCATATCCATACATATCCTTACATGCCCATACATATCCATACATGTTCACACATGTATCTATCTATATAATATATATATATGTACATAGTCCACTCAAAGTTCATTGTTTGTAGGAGTTAAAATTCATTTTTGGAAGATCAACACATCAGCTTGTCTTATCTTGTTTTGTTGCCCTCTAGGAGACAATCAGAGTCAGATATATGGAAAATCCTACAGGATGGGGCCCCCCAGTTATAAGTTGGTTTATACACCATGATAATCCCCATTAACTATAGTTATATCTACCATAAACCATACTTAAACCACTTATAAACCAACTTAGCTATCTTGGGGGCCCCCCATCTTGTAGGGAACCCTAATGATTTTCATATCTATGTGATTTTCCAGAGGGTTAGCTTTTGGCAGCTGACTTCTTGCACCTTGTGCATTTCAATCGGACCAATAAGATATTAATGTATCTGATCCGGGTACTGGAACCCCATCTAACTGTACCCGTAACTGTAGATCTACCAGACAAATCTGGATAGTTCACTGACTTCCAAAGAGGTGCCAGCCCAGTTATGTTCCTTGGATTTTCATAAAGTTTATTACCCATCCAACAATACCATACAATACCCTGGTTGGTGGTTTGTGACATTTTTTATTTTTCCATTTCATCTATGGGAATAATCATCCCAACTGACGAAGTCCATCATTTTTCAAGATGGTTAAAACCACCAACCAGATACAATGATACAATACCCATAAACCATACCCTCTGGTAATTTAACATAGCTATTGAAAATTGTGATTCTCCTAAAACCAGAGTATACCATAGTAAAAAACCATATATATATAATTAAATTGATATCATCCCATATCATCCCATATCATCCCATATCATGCCATAACAATACCATACAATCCTAGATGCGAACCATGGTGCTGGAATATGAATCCCAACATAAAAACCCCATTTTTATGAGCCAGTTTTGTAGGTAAATATACCATACATGGAGCATATGGGAATACCCACAAGCCATAAACCATAAACCATAGAGTTCACCGCCCCACTGGTCTCCAGGTTGCCATACTGGGTGGAGGAGCCTTTGGCACGGCCATGGCCACGCATGTGGCCGCTCAGACCCGTCATATTTTGGAGAGCCAAAATGTGCCCTAAGCGTCATATGTTGCTTGAGATTTTAACATATTTATGTGGTTGGTGGTTTGGAACATTTGGATTATTTTTCCATATTGGGAAGAATCATCCCAACTGACTTTCATATTTTGCGGAGAGGTTGAAACCACCAACCAGTTATTGTTGGGAGTTTAAACCTATTCGAAATCATATTTGTTTATTTGAAGCATACTTGGGATGATTGGTTGAGATGAGTAGCATGTTTGGGATTAGTTCAAACCACGATATCAACATCAACATCTTTCTCCATACATTGCACTCCTTAAGTGCAACCACCATCCGAGGCTCGAAAGGGCCATCGTGCCATCATGTTGCTGCGGGACAAGTCAGTACCGCTCCCGGTGAAGAAAATGGCTAATACTGGATGCCATGGGAGTGAGAGCACCAATACAAACAAATAGTTAAATAAATAAGCAAATTAATAAATTAATAAATGAATAAATGAATAAATGAATAAATGAATAAATGAATAAATGAATATATAATATATATATATATAGTATGATTGTCTTTTTACGTTGTTCTATCCATAGTTGATAAATGTTGATTACCCATATAGTTGTTGGTTTCAACATGTTTCAACTGTGCGCGCTGCATGTCAGACTCCGCCACCGTGCCTTCCAGCTGACGGATCATGGCGATTCAACTCACCCCGAAGACCCCGTAATAACGACCTCACTGTTTTCCCGAATGATGCAATGTGGGGCCCCCCAGTGATGTTAGTTGGTTTATAAGCCCGAGTAACTAGTTCGTTATTTGCGTACCATGTTTACCATAGTTATTGGAGTTATGTGAACCCCAACTGAACGCTATCGTAGTTTGGGGGCCCCACTTTGTGGGTAGTAAGAATCCCAAAATGACATTTGTTTCAGATTAGTGAATTATATATTATATATATTATGATTATTGTTGATGAATTACCCCAGATGGTTGTTAAACGGTGGGCCCCCCAGTTATGACTGTTGCTTAGTAGAGCCTAGTACAAAATGAAGATCTCCCGTAGACCCAACCTTTTGGAAATTTTGGGTTGGTTGAATCCCTGCCAAGGTGTGCAAGTTCATGAACCGCAATCACATCAATCCCAAGTCGGCTGCCGATTTTAGCTGGGAGAATCTGGGAGAGACCATGAGAAACCGGCTGACGACTTTGTGACTTCCATGGCGTGGAAAGCACTAATGGTCACTAAGGGTTACTAATGGTTACTAATGGTTACTACAGTAATGGTTAATAATGGTTATTCATGGTTATTAATGGTTAAAGGCTCACCCCAGGAATCGTAAGTGGCTTATAAACCCTAGTTATAGGATGTTATAGGTGGATTAACCCACAAAAATCCCACTCAAAGAACTGGGGTTATAATCCACTTACTGGGATGAGCCGCCCAGGGGGTTATGGCCTATAACTTACTAAGGGCTATAATTCGCTTACATTCACTTACTGGGGTTATGGTCATCTTTGAATGGCCTGGAGTGGTGTAGTCGGCAGAGAGCCATTTGCTTTTGATTTGGTCCAGCTTCGATCATGGTCCGGGTCTATGTGAACCAACAGATGGAAACAAAGTGTGCTCACACTAACTTGCATTGGCCAAGCTGCTGGTCAACGTCATCGTTGTTTTTTTCCTAGTGATCCTCTATATCTTGCGAATAATCACAATTTATGGTCATCATGTCATCCAAAAATCCTCAACACAGCAGGATCATAACCTGACCATCTCTGTTTCCTGCAAAACAACAACGGCTGAGATATGCTGTCTCGCGAGCTTTGCAGACTGGAGCCTCTGTTCGGTCCACCAAGGTATTTGCGAGAATTTAAGTTGCCCAAGGATATCTATGCTACCACCAGTGCCGAGGACATCGGTTAATATCAGTGTGCCTATGTTCCTATCCCATAGGATCCATGTATGGTATATATGCTAACATTTAGGGTATATGGATGGTAAATGTTACCATATATACCATACATGGATCCTATGGGTATGTTTGAACCCAACAAAAATCACACCGTTCGGAAAGCCTGAAGGATGGGGTCCACCCTATGACCCTATCCACATTGCAATGAATTGAGCTTCCAGCCGTCACATGTTCTTGGTCGTGCAACCCTTTTAACGGGTTGATCACCTGGTCTCAGAATCACAGCTGTTTGATTTTTTTCTGAAAAGATGCCGATCCTTGTAGATCCATTTCCATCCATTTCCATCATCTTCACCCCCCAAAAGCCTCCAAGGTTTAGTGGATTGAAAACAGATCCAGAGTTGGGACCATCTATGATTTTTTCGTGCCCATATGCTCACCATGGTGCTGAAATATGAATCCCAACATTTACAGTACCCCATAAATTTATGAGCCAGTTTTGTAGGTAAACATACTAGCACCATGGTTCGCATCTAGGGTGCTAACTACCATGACTTTTTCGGGGGATGGTATCCCATCTCCCGGGGATCCGACCATCCCATGGTCGCCAGGACGCCTTGGAGGAATGCGATGTGCTGATCCATGCGGTACCGGTGCAATCCTCCAGGAAGGCGCGACCTGGCGCGACGGCGACAAAATTTAAACATTTCGAGTTGGGTGAATTGGATCATATAACGGTTGGTGGTTTGGAACATTTAGTATGGGGTGAGGATGGTTAATGATGCTTAATCATGGTTAATTTAAATAATGGTTCATAATCTCTGGTTGGTGGTTTGGAACATGAATGGATGATTTTCCATGGGATGTCATCCTTGCCATTGACGAACTCATATTTTTCAGAGGGGTAGGTCAACCACCAACCAGACAATATTGGATACATGTACAAATACATGAAACGTGATTTGGATGGAGTTCAGCACAGACCACGGCCCAGTGATCGGAACGAACATCAGGCAAATCATTCAATTGACTGACATTGTAGTTGCCAAATCGGCGAAATTTGTGAGTCCATTGATGTCTCTGCCTGATGTTTCTAATGCCAAGTGCTACCGTTGGTTGAGCCATGATGAGCCTGTTTCTGGAAGATTCCATTCCATGTGTCCTCTATTGTCCAGTTAGGGGGCAAAGACCATGGAAAATATGGTGATGGTTTTTGGTGATTTTGACCCAACGTGCTTCAAACTTCAATCCTCTCTGTTGATAATGATCCTATCAATTTCAACGCAGCCTCATTCTTGCTTGACATTTACATGTTCACCTTTGTTTGTCTTAACTCTCTCTCTCTCTCTCTTCATTCAGCAAAATACAGCAAACCACCATGCAACCCCCAAGACTCCGGTGTCAAAGCAAGTGTGTCCAGATCAAACATGCAGTTACCCTCTGGTTATTTAACGTAGCTATGGACATTTTCCCTGTTCACTACATGGGTAAATCAACCGCAGCTGGGCCATTGTCCAGTTCGCAAACTGTTAACTTTCAATGGTGGATTTGATCAACAGACAATGGGTCAGTAAAACATGTTACAGCATTTTATCAGCATTTATCAACTAACCACAATGCATATACTATCATATACTGGTTGGTGGTTTGGAACATTTTTTTCCATATATTGGGAAGAATCAGCCCAACTGACTTTCATATTTTTCAGAGGGGTAGGTCAACCACCAACCATATATATATATATTTATAATATAATATTAGATATAAGGATATACAATGGAATACCATGGGAAACCAACCCAGCAAATTTGGTGCTTCAAAATTCGCCACCGGGAAGGTGTTGGAGGCGATCAAAGATTTAGTGCCCAAAGATGTGCCAGTGGTGGCGGTCTCGAAGGACGTCGGGATGTCGATGTTTCGTGGATCGTGGTGGATCTGTTCGCCTTTTTTTGGATCAAAAATATGGTGTGTGTTTTACCATGAAACATGGTGGTTGTAGCATGTAAAATGATGGATTTAGCATGAAACATGGTGGTTTTATAAGAATGGGGATGAAACTAGAACCATGTTGGTTTACAATGGAACATGGGGATTAAGTTAAGAACCATGTAAAATGGTGATTTTGCCATGCAGAAAGGATTTAATTTGCAACAGGATTTTTTTTTTGCAATGGAAACATTGGATTTGACGTGATTTAACTATAGCATACATGTTGATTGGTTTGTCTGAACACCAGAAGGAAATCCCCAAGATCTCATGCTTGGGAAACTTATTTCCCCGCCGTTGAAATATGCAGTGCGGCAGACGCCCCTATGTTTGGAAATCAAACACATTTGTGCAGTTATTGTGCTCTCACAATGGGTAATACAACAGTGGGGAATGGGCATATTACTTTACAGCCAGGATCATCAACATCATGATAAACCATTTTAGATCATTTCAAGGGCCTCCCATCATTGCTGCAACTGCTTAAAAAAATTGCCCAGTGCGTAGCATAGTTGGACATAGCATAAATGTCATATTCGAGGTAACCAGGTGTAAATTCCAGTTAGCTGGGTCCCAAAAGGTCCAAATAAAACGTCCCCTTCCTAAACAGATATATGTTTTGTTTCTTGATACTGTGCTTGCTGGGATATATCTGGATATAGTCAGTTCGTCATCTCCCAATTCTTGCGCCCGCTGGCCGTGCGCGATCCAGGGCATTGAACTTGGGAACAAGAAGCTGATGTGCGACCTCATCCCTGAGGCACTGGGAACTAATGAGTGGTGTACTTTTTTTGCTGGTTGGTGGTTTCAAATAGTCACAATATGGTACATAAATGGTACCCTCCCAATTAAACAGCCTAGGGGTTTATTAATCCAGGGTTGACATTATAGTGACTGGTTGGTGGTTTCAAACATTTGGTTTATTTTCCATTTTATCTATGGGATGTCATCCTTCCCATTGACTCATATGTTTTCAAGATGGTTATTGCACCACCACCAACCAGGTTGGGTATGAATGTCAATATCAATACCTTTGGTTTATGGTTATGGTTATTAGCCATCCAACAATACCATACAATACCATGGTTATTGCACCACCAAGCAGTCTGTAGCGAAGGAATGTACTTTGCTATCTATGTCCACAACTGAGGTTCTGGACATATATCTAGGGGAGGTGTCTGCTATCCAAGTAACTTAAGGTTTCCAAAAAACATGGCGAGACAGTGATCCTCGGGGTGTTGGTGTCCCTCATCCCCATCTTTACTGATTCTGTTTTGGTCAATGAAAAAACAAAACTTTTGTTGTTCATGTCATAAACTATTCCATGTGTATGGCATTACATTCCATTATGTTTGGGTTGATGAAAGATATGAAAGCCTGAGGTTAGCTGTTTCATGTTGTTTCAATATCCGCAGACAGTTTGTGGGTTCAATCCGTATCGCTTCCTGTTTGGCTGGTTGGTTACAAGAATAATATATATATATATAGTATAGTATATACAATACATCATGCAGCATCCCGGTTTGTTCTGGATGAATTACACTGACCTCACTGTGACGTCACTGGAATGATGGTTGGCAAGGGGAACTATCCCAAAATTAGCCTTGCCTTATCCTTATTTCAGGTTAGTGAATGATCATAATTTAGCCAGCTTAGTCTAAGTTTGACCTACAGTCTTGTTTTTTTGCAGGTACCATCTGGTTATGACTAAGAGTTGCCCTGGAAAATCCACCCATGCTATGAATAGTTCGGTAAAGCATCTATAAATCTATGGGCCATGGCTATTTTCCATGGCAAACTGTGAATGTCATAACCAGCTACCGTAGCTCCCAACGTAGCTCCCAACATCTCGACGTCTGACGTAGGCCTTAGGGCGTGAGCCACAGCAGGGCGGGGTGGTGGTAGTCTCTGGCCCATCCTTTGCTCAGGACTTTGGGAGAGTGGGAAAACGTTTTTTTTTTTTGGGACAGCCGACAGAAAACTGAAGCATAGACCATCATAAACCTATGGTAACCTATGGTAACCTATGGTAACCTATGTTTTGTTCATGTTTTTTAAGGATATGGCTTATAGATTACACGATCCAAGAATTCAGAAAAAAGAATGTGGTAAACCCTGTCAGGCGCTGCATGGTCATTCTTCAACATGTCACGCATCGGCTTCCTCCATGACGTATTGAATGGTTCACCCACCGCAGAGAACTTCTTGATTCAAGCAATTTGGTGGAGCATCATGATTTCATAGAGATGTTCTTTATACTAGACCATATCATATTATATCATATTATATCATTGTGTATCATATTATATCATTTTGTATCATATTATATCATATTATATCATGTTATATCATATTACATCACATTATATAATATTAAATCATATACGAAACAATACCATCATCTGGATGACGTCAATGATGAGAATTGGATTCGGGGAATCATCCTCATGACTAGATAGCTGGATTAGCTTTCCGTATGATGACAGGTTCCTTTGTCAGCTGGCCGTGAATTATTCGAATTCATACAGAATTCAACTCAATGCTGGGCCAATGTTGGATTGTGTTTCATGAATGTTGGGTATGAAATCACGAAAAAGAAATTAAGTTGGGGGACATCCCAACACTAGCGAATTCACCATGAAATCAACTGTTTAAGTTTCTAATGGAATGTTGACTTTATATTCTAGAAGGTCGGGTCATTAGCTACCTCGGAAGTGGATGATTGAACCAACAACATTGGGAAATTCACTCAGCGAAAGCTGGATTTCGAAAATAACCAATATAATCCAATATATTAAACTAATTAAAAAGACTGGAACCACTCAGGCAATATCACTCTTGTTGATAAAGTCACTGCTTTGCGGCGCCATTTCTGTTATTGGGTCCAAGACGTCCCGTCTTAGTTTCTGTCCTTTCCCCATTGTTCATGACAAGCATAGAAAGAAATAAGGAACATGATGGTAAGGGTGACCATAGTATATCACTCGATTTGACCAGAAGAACCATTTGTGCAATGAATGTATAGAAACAATCCTTTCCCTTGGACCCTTGGTCTTAAATAATACAAAATATCACCCCAAAAAATTCTGGCTTTGTATCAGATGTACTCATTTTCATCTATGTTCAGGCCAATGAATCATGACACTTCAGCCAGAAGATAATTTGGCTTTGTTTGTCAAGTGCAGGAGATCATGGACCGAAGACCCACCTCGGTCTGGGCCTAGGAAGAGCTGCCTGTCGTGAGTTGTTCTGCCGAAAGAATGAACATATTTCGGCAACAGACGTCAGGAGCAAAATGTGGTACTATAGTACTTCGTACTATAATACATATATATATATAATATACTCTACATACATACACATATATATATATATATTTGTTTAGAACACCAAGAACAAAGATAGAACAGTCAGTATCTATAGTCAGTCGTAGAATCATGATAAATTACTGTCTTTTTTGTTTTCCGGGGTTAGTATATTTGAGTAAGAAACAAAGATTGGCGGTTGACCAATCAAAGGCAGAGAATCTGACCAAGCCAACAAATGGACGAACAACGGAACTTGAAGGCTTACTTAGATCTAAGCAGCTTGAAAGAGGGGATCATCACCACACCTGCAAATGGAGGATGGAACCACAAAATCCGTCATCATTTGTTGACAAGTCAAACATGTCATTTGTCGTTGCCCAATTTATTACCCAAATCTACATGGTGTTTGATTTATTGCCCCATCCTTGTTGGTTCAATACCACCACAACAAATTTTGGGCTCATACCCATATCATTTAAGTAAGTTGATATATATATGTTGATACTATATAGAATTATGATGAATTATGTGATGTTATTATATACATATATCCATACATTTGGATATATTCAAGGCTATTTAAGGCTATACTATCCCTTGCGAATTCATGACCGTCGGACTATCCCCTCGAGGCCCTCGGCCCTGTTTGTCTCAGGTGGTAGCAGCCTCTAAGAGCCCCGAAGCAGCTGAGAAGGTTTCGAGGCAGGGTCAAGCAGTACATCTGGATGACGTCAATGATGAGAATTGGATTCGGGGAATCATCCTCATGACTAGATAGCTGGATTAGCTTTCCGTATGATGACAGGTTCCTTTGTCAGCTGGCCGTGAATTATTCGAATTCATACAGAATTCAACTCAATGCTGGGCCAATGTTGGATTGTGTTTCATGAATGTTGGGTATGAAATCACGAAAAAGAAATTAAGTTGGGGGACATCCCAACACTGGCGAATTCACCATGAAATCAACCGCTTAAGTTTCTAATGGAATGTTGACTTTATATTCTGGAAGGTCGGGTCATTAGCTACCTCAGAAGTGGATGATTGAACCAACAACATTGGGAAATTCACTCAGCGAAAGCTGGATTTCGAAAATAACCAATATAATCCAATATATTAAACTAATTAAAAAGACTGGAACCATTCAGGCAATATCACTCTTGTTGACAAAGTCACTGCTTTGCGGCGCCATTTCTGTTATTGGGTCCAAGACGTCCCGTCTTAGTTTCTGTCCTTTCCCCATTGTTCATGACAAGCATAGAAAGAAATAAGGAACATGATGGTAAGGGTGACCATAGTATATCACTCGATTTGACCAGAAAAACCATTTGTGCAATGAATGTATAGAAACAATCCTTTCCCTTGGACCCTTGGTCTTAAATAATACAAAATATCACCCCAAAAAAATCTGGCTTTGTATCGGATCTACTCATTTTCAGCTATTTTCAGGCCAGTGAATCATGACACTTCAGCCAGATATGTTGCTTTATTATCCATCTGGGATACAATAACCATAAACCATATAATGTGTGTAAAACAATGCCATAAACCATCCCCCAAATCACCATTTTTATAGGTGGCATGTTTACCATTCCCAGTCCTGGGTGGTTCATGATATTATTTTACCCACAGTTATTTTTGCTCAGGCCTTAGTATGGATAATAACCATAACCATAAACATCCATAAACCATAGCTATTGATGGCCTTACCAGTCAATTGATGGCCTTACCAGTTGATGGCGCGCACGCGCCACCAGCCTGGAGTCCTCCTGGAGGCTGTTGACCTCAAAATACTTCCGTGTGAGCATGACAGACGACGTCCTGGGTGTTGAGGCACAGTCCTTTGGAGACGGTGATTTCATGGTGATTTCATGGTGATTTCATGGTGATTTCATGGTGATCTAACCAACACAAATGGTGATTTAATGGTGATATAATGGTGATATAATGGGAAAACGGGGATGGGTTTTTTGTTACCTATGAAACTACCACATTTTGAGGAATGAACATCCAGCGTAATACCAGCTATGACTTAGGGGACTTAGGTAACAGGGTTTTGACCCACAAACTATATTATATCTATAAACCCAACAGTGAACCAAGTGAGCAGTGCTTGCTAAACCCTGGTTGATTAGTTGGGGATCGTACTACAAAATATATACCGGGGATTACAACAATTCCTGATTGGTGGTTTAGAACATTTTTTATTTTTCCATATATTGGGAATAATCATCCCAACGACTAATATTTTTCAGAGGGGTTGAAACCACCAACCAGATTCATTAGGGGAATCCTTATTGAGCAAGCAGCAAAATGGAATGCCAGAGGGATTTGGAACACCACAGAAGTGTGCGTCGACATGCGTCAACTTAGCTATCCCCACCTGCACATCCCAACATGTTCCGACCATTCTGACTGTGTGTCTCATGTTGCGACCAGCAGGTTGCGGGCGCTCTGAAGAATGTCTTGGCCATCGCTGCGGGCATTTGCGAGGCACCACGGACAGAAAGGACGGTGTAGAACTGGGGTGGTTTCAACATAATTGGAGTATGTTGGTGTTAAATATTAATATGTCATAATATGTCTAGCGGTTTCAATCTATTTCAAGCATAGTTTACATTTTATAGCCCATAGGATCCATGGTGCTGGTATATATATAATATATGCTAACATGACTGGGGTATATTGATGGGATCCATGTTACCATATATAGCAGCGCCATGGATCCTATGGGTGGCTGGCAAGTTACTTGTAGGATCATCCCATGGATCGTAACTGGTGAATCACCATATTTAACGGCTAGTTATATAATGTTATATAATATGTTATATAATGTTGTAGAATGTTATATAATGTTATTTAGTGCTATATAATGTCATATAGTGTTATATAGTGTTATTTAATGTTATATGTATATATAAATCTATATTATATATATATTATATGGGATAGCGCCATTGATGGGACTTACCAACTATGGTTATGAACTATTTACTAAGTGGGAGGAACCTCCAGGTAGGTCCCCTGGAAACCAACAGCAATCCTCACCTGTTGCTCTCGCAGGGTCTGAACCTTGGAACCAACGCGATGTCGGCATTGGTTACGCAGGCACGGGTAATCACGGGTAATCACGATGTATCACAATCATGTGACAAGAATCAACATGCCATGGATAAAAGATTATACAAGCGGAATTCGAGATTCAATATGATTCAGCAAGATTCCCAATGGTTTATGAGATTGTTTAATAGTTGTGTTTAAAGATTAGATGTTTAGTGGTCGCCGGCCATGCTCCACCACTTGGAGCCATGATCGGCGACGACAACCTCATACTATGATGGGCATGTCACTGGAAAGTTCCGAGAAGCTGGCAGCATTTTCCCCTCATTATTTGACTTACTTGTCACTTCTGTCTTGTGCTATTTTATATGTGCTATTTTAAATATGCTGCATAATGTATACATAATGCATATATGATGATATACAGTGTATATATATACGTATATATATATATGTATATATATATGTATATATATATGTTATGTACATATTTGGATAATTTATGATGACCTCACTGTAACGTCACTGGAATCATGGTTAGTAAGGAGAATCATCCCCAAATAACCTTATTTCAACTGATTTGAAGGTGGCTATATGTTGGGACTTCTTATTAGAGAGAAACCCAATTTGGAGCATTTTTGTGGTGCTCCGTTTGTGCTGTCCAGTTGTGGTCACTGTTACAGCCCCGGGGCCATGAACATGTCCTCTATAAAATGAGAGGGGTCATGGCATGCCATATTTTGTTTTATGCACCTCCAGCGGCGCTCCTTCAGGGGGTCACTCACCCTACTTTATAGTGATTTTAGGGTTGTAGCTGCAATCTGTCCAGATTTGTGCAGGTTTTTGCAGTGCAGCCATGATCCAGGTTGTTCTTATCCGCAGCCATTGATCATTTGATCAAAGATGCCTCGGGTGGGGGCACAACCTCCGAAAAGGAGCCGGCCCTGTGCCATGTGAAGTTCTGAAGACATGCTCAGGGAAGGTGGGCAAACCATCTCTTTGCATTCCTTCATTTTGTTCCCAATGCCGCCCAATGCCAACCCTGGCCTTTCAATGGGCCATTTTGGAATAGTGTGGGCTACTTGTATGATTCCCAAGTGCCACCACTATAAAATGGCTGGCCTCAACCTTTCAACCCACCATGAAATCCTTTTGGGTTGAAATTGCCTGGAAAGCTGGGAATTCAACCCAGTCACCAGTTTCATATTGGGTTGGCGGGTTGAGGCTAGCCATTTTATAGTGTCTGGATTTGGGAAATTGTGTAAGTAGCCCACATTAAAACACAGTATCCCACATTGTGCTATCTAGCCATGGCCCCTTTCAATGGGCTACTGTGTTTTAATGTGGGCTACTTGCACAATTTCCCAAATCCAGACACTATAAAATTGCTAGCCTCAACCCGCCAACCCAATATGATTCTGGTGATTGGGTTGAATTCCCAGCTTTCCAGGCAATTTCAACCCAAAAGGATGGCAGGTGCTGGCTCAATCGTCAATTTCATGGTGGGTTGAAAGGTTGAGCGCAGCCATTTTATAGTGGTGGCACTTGGAAATCATACAAGTAGCCAACACATGGCCCGTTGAAAGGCCAGGGTTGGCACTGGGCGGCATTGGAAACAAAATGAAGGAATGGGCAAATGGTATGATTCTAAGTGAGGTGCTGAAATCTGTTGACTTGTGCCTTGACCATTTGGAAATGGAACCGGTCATTTTATAGAGATTTTATGGTAATTTCCAGGTGTTTTGGGGTCAGGCCCCCTCAAAATATAGTGTTTTGATTTGGGTTGGGGCCGTTCATTTTATAAGCAGTGCCTAGTCATTTTATAGTGAAAACAATTTTATGTCTATAAAATGGCTGGCAAGACCCTCTCCCGTGTATATTCATAGGGATTATATATACAGATATTATTGTAAGCATGATAAAGTATATAAAGAATGTATGTATATATATATATATATGCATAATAATAATCATAACAACAATAACAATAAATGTATATACATATATATATATGGAGACATATTGTGGTATTTACAGAACAAAAAGAGTATAGATACACATATTGGATACGCATTACGTAGTCGCAGGAGGGTCAAAAAAAACGCGGCCAGGGCAATGCGGAGATTCGCTGGTTGGCCACTGCCATGGGTCTCCGAGGGGCGTGCTGGTGCTGGTGATTTCCATGGGGATTTTTCATGAGATAACCATGGTTAAGATGGGATTTATATAGGATTACGTTAAGGTAACCATTTTTTTTTATACATCAATTTCCTCACATTTCAGGTTTCAGTGGCTATCTGGAATTGATGTGGATTTAAGATGGGATTTGTATTTAGGATTGTTATGACACATTGGATTTAATATGGAATTTATTTAGATTTGAATATGGAATTTAATATGGGATTTATAAAACATTGCTTTCTGGAACATCACCCTGTTTTTCGATGAAAACCATCATGTATTATGTACATAGGGGATTTCCCATTGCCACGTTGATTACCGGAGGGTAATATTTATTTGGTTTTTGGTGGTGATTTCATAGGGCAAAAGGGATTAAAATATGGCTTTACAAGTCCAATGGTATGAAGTATGAGTTCATGACTCTTTCCTGTTGTTTCATGATCATCCTTGAACAATATCATCTGACCGCGTTCTGACACCTGAACTTCTGAAAACCCACATAGAAGAGTGAGAAGTTCCCACTGTTCTTTCCGGAATTCTATCCTTGAGCTGGTTCACCGAAGCAAGAACCATTTTGCCTGGGCTCAAAACATTTCGACACATTTCTACACTATTTATCCAACAAAAATTATCAATGATTATCAACTTGGTTTTCCCCAAATTTGCATGGTTTTTGCCTTAAAGTCACTTGCAGTGTGGGGTTCTCCAGTTGTGTTTGTTGATTTTCAGAACCCCCATGAATATACTTTAGTTATCTACAGTTATTAACGTATTATAAACCACAAGAAACATTGGAGTTATCTTGCCCCCAACTGAGCGAGCTATCGAACTTGGCTTCTCCCACTATTTGTAGCCACTGGTGCACTGGTTGAGGTGCCCGACCAGAGACCTTGGCGGGTTTGTCGGGCATGGGTCCGGAGCACTCAGAGAGCCGGGTGTGCTTCGGATCTCGGGTTTTCTCCACGATTTTTCTCTGCGAAATGGTAGACGAACACTTTGCAAAGTGGAAAATCACCATGTATTGTTCATAAGTAAATCTTAACTATACTATAAATGATATAAATGGGCCATGTTCAATAGCAAACTTTGAAATTACCAGAGGATAATTGGCTTCCAAGCCATGGCGATGGCTATGATAGTGACTGGGGGAATAAGCATCCAGCAGCTATGACTTAGGGTACCTACGATACATTAAGATACCAGGGTTTATGAGCCATAACCAACATCAATCCATTGACCAGGCCGGGACATACTGCCTTACAATGTCGCCCCCCCATTCTTTATGGCTAAGTTGGTGCATTTAACTCCAATGTTATTATGGTTTATGATTCTTACAACATCTTATTACTTGTTCTAGTATTCATGGGGATTAAAGATATTTAAAGCAACAAACATACCAGTTCACGCACATAACTTGCTTACTAGGGTTTGTGGAGGATATAACTATAATTTTCTTGGAGGTTATGAACTTTACAAACATACCCTCTGGTAATTTAACATAACTTTTGACAATCACCATGTTTAAGTTCAGTAAATCATCATGTCTATCATCTATTTCTATGGCCAATGTTCCATAGCAAACTGTTGAATAACCAGATGGTATTTCCTGATGGAGTATCCCCATGTTTGTTGCTTAAATCCCCATGAATCACCATAAAACAACTTAAAATCCCATATAAATTCAGCCAAACAAACATGTCATCACTTTGGGCCCCCAAAAAAGGTGACATTCTCCTGACCTGCTTCGGGAGCTTGTCGCGCAATCGTCGTGTGGGAGTGCGCCTGGGCAAAGGCGATCCCTTCGAGGTTCGCTTCCGCGGATCGCCGAGTTGGGACGTGGTGGATGGGCCCCCCCAGTGATGTTTGGTGGTTTATGACCTCAATGACTATGGTTACTATAGTTATATAAGTATAAAAAAAATAAAAAACCATCTACCAAAAACCAGAAAAAGTATAGTTATCTAGTTCGTTCTATCTACCAAAAACCATATAGAATTCAACGCGATAATCGACTGGGATCCCCATCCTGTGATTTTTTTGTCGTGATTTTTTCAACCAAGAACTTCATGGCGATGTTTCATGGTGATTTCATGGGATAAATATATATATATATGAATATACAATGATATATAAATGTGTGGAATGTATGGAATGTATGGTATGTATGGTATGTATGGTATGTATGGTCATATATATATATATATGTATGTAGAGAGACATATAATGGGGAGTTACTGGGAATATACCTTTTGGTCATCAAACATGGATAGCTGGAAAAAAACATCTATCGGTGGAGGTCTAAAGCTGGGAAGCTCGAATCTGATTTTTTGGGTATGTTCCGTTGCCATGTTTGATCTTTGATTGCCAGATGGTATGAAGACATCACAAATCATCAAACTCTGGTTGGTGGTTTGGAACATTTGGATTAGTTTTCCATAGATTGGGAATAATGATCCCAACTGACTAAAATTTTTCAGAGGGGTTGAAACCACCAAACAGCAAATCATCAAACTAGATATAGTTTTTGAGATGTTGTAACCATCAACCTTGAAGTAATGTGATAAACAAAAATCCCTAAATTCTACTATTTGGGAGGGCATTCGCCATCAAATCGGGATGGCTTACTGGATTACCACATTGATATTCAAAATTAGATAAAGTTGTAGTTTTAATGTGGATTGTCTGAACATATTTGAACATATTCTAGTTGTGAGAATGAGTTAAAATGGTTTGACAAGCAGCATTGGAAATAATATTTGTGGGGGGTCTTACAGTGGATTCTGTTAGCAAAAGCATGATCTATATCCTACAATCAAACTTGGTGAATTCAGTAGTAAACATGTTGCAGATAAACCCCAAACCAAGAAACTTGGCCTCTTCAAGCAACGTGATCACACCATCACTGTACCTAAAACACATCTGGTAGCCTCAAAGGCAACGTTTTATCAACTTTAATCCATATCAAAATGGCTATCTAGGTGTTTACTCCATTTTCAGAGACATACACACATGTATCATATCAAGTTGGATTAGGTATCCCGTTGTATCCCATTAATAACCCATCTAGATATATCTAGATCCATTTTCTAAGACGATTTCCTTCCTATTTCCCAACATAAAACCCACATCACCATTCACCATTCAAGTGATGTTCAGTCCCTGCTGACCGGAGGACGTGATCAACTCAAAGCAAGGGGTCGCAGAAGGAGTCTTCACAGCCAGGTTGGTGGTCGAGCTGGCTGATGAGTACAAGGCTGAGAGATCTCCGTGACAGTGTGGGACTTAGTGGTACTAAACGATCGTAAGATATTTATCATGTCACAAATTGTCAACGTACATGTAGATCGATCCTTCACGTTACAAGACTACAGCCCTGGAATTTCACATACAGCAAGTCCCATATCTAGTAAAGTAGTAACATCAGGATTTATGGTGAATATATTTATGGTCAAACCCACATTGGTCCACCAGTTACAATTTGGTTTGCAAAGCCATTCAACTGCAGATATACCTGTCATACAATATCATAAAGCCTAGTTGGCATACTCGTAAGCCAACTTGTCTATCTAAAGGGTCCCTTCGTGTGTTTGTTTGTGCTCACGACGCCCCTACCGGCCCTGGGGAATATGACACTTTTTGCTGTGCCTGTCAGGCTTGTTCACGTCACTGCAATTTTTCTTGGTGTCGCTTTGCCCGTTAGTTAGAAGTTTTGCCCGTTAGCTAGAAGTATTGCCCGTCAGTTAGAAGTTTTGCCCGTCAGTTAGAAGTTTTGCCCGTCAGTTAGATGTTTTGCCCGTCAGTTAGAAGTTTTGCCCGTCAGTTAGAAGTTTTCCCCGTTAGTTAGAAGTTTTGCCTGTTAGTTAGAACTTGTGCACGAAGGATAGTGTGATTTTTTTTGGGGAACCGGGTGGGGTGGGGGGGTGGGGGGTGGGCAAGGGGTACGCTGTAACATGCCAGACGCTCTTGATGCTACGCTGCAACACTGCAGTCTCTTCATGATACTCGCTATGTCTCGTCACTGCAACATGCAACATGCCTCTTGTCACTTGCCAGACGCTCTTGATGCTACGCTGCAACATGTCTCTTGTCACTTGCCAGACGCTCTTGATGCTACGCTGCAACATGTCTCTTGTCTCTTGCCAGACGTTCTTGATGCTACGCTGCAACATGTCTCCTGGACTGCCTGAGCTGTTCTCCATGTCGCATGTCGTGTGTCTACACGCTTGTTAAGAAAGATTCCATTTTTTTTTGCGTTTAGGAATTCAAATTCATGATCAAGCGCATTGGAATTACGACTTAACAGACACAAAACACTGTAAAACGCAGACCAAAATGAGCTACTGAACAAATGGGCAGACCAAGAAAACGCTGTGAGGGTTGCGAAAGACACAAAAATCTGCGAATGAAAAGGTGAAAAAACAGCAGGGCCGTTACAAGCGGCGTGACTTCGTGTGTTTGTTTGTATATAGGCTGTATCGCTACGCCATTAATCAAAGATTAGGAGTTATGTTACGCAATCACATTCCTAGCGGTGTACCCAATGTACTAAACCCTAATCGGGGATGGCTTATGGCGGTTTACTACAAAAATAGCACGATGATTTCCCATCAATTCGCCATTTATCCGAATTAACTACCCTTATTCCATGATTAAATCGATGATGGGTTATCATACCGAATTAATACCCCAACCAAATGATTAAATCATGATCGGGGTATTACTACTTATAGTATTATTAACTAACCCATCAACCGAATTAACTACCCCAATCAATTCTTGGAAGATGGTTTATAGTTTTGACTTTTCCCCCAAACAAACCATCCCAACGATATTGTCTCCGGTCGCTGCTGTGCTGTCGAACAAAGTCAGCGAGTATTTCATAGTCATCCCATATTAACTTTCTATATCCACAGTCATAATAATATATTCAACATATACAGTATTTATCAATCATATATTCATCATAGATTCATCATATATTCGTCAGATATTCATCATGTATTCAACATGTATTCAGCATATTCATCATCCATTCATCATAAATTCATCTTACAATCATCGTAAATTTATCCTCCATTCATAATGTATTCATCATACATTCATCATATATTCATCAAATGAATTCATCAAATGAATTCATCATACATTCATCAAATGAATTCATCATAAATTCGTCATATGAAGTCATCATAAAATCATCACATATTTTATCATATAAAATCATCATAAATTTATCACAAATTCATCATATGAATTCACCATAAAAACATATGAATTTATCATGGTTTCATCATAGATGCATCAGATGAATTCATCATAAACTCATCAAATATTCATCTAAAGAATTCATCATAAATTTATCATATGAATTCATCATAAAATCATCATACGAATGCATCATAAAATCATCATATGAAATCATCATAAAATCATCAAATGAATTCATCATAGTTTCTTCTCAAATTCATCATTTGAATTCATCATATATTCATCATATATTCATCATATATTCATCATATATTCATCATATATTCATCCTGGACCTTCCAAAGTACAGAAAATTCTGTACGATTGGGATTTCTGCACTTTTGGGCCGATTGAAACGTTTAATCTTAAATGTAAACGGTTTCAACAAAAAGTGAACTCTTTACAGCAGTTCTGACTGCCACCTTAGATATGGCACGGGTGGTTAAAATATCTTGCCACAATGGGTCCCTCACAATTCACCGATTGGAATTGCTGGTGATAATGTCCATGCTTTCCTAAATTTGCAGAGTTTGTGTTGGTGATTGGAGCCCCCAAAGATTCAAAGCCTCACACATGCAGGAATACTAAGCTATATTTGAAAATAGTTAGTTTGAAGCATGCTTAGTTTGCAGGAATATCAGTTTTCATTCCAACAAACTGCGATTTGATGCGATTTGTCACATGCATGAACCGCAGCAGTAATTAAAAAATCCCGATTTGCGTACTTTTGCGGATATTTGCGTATTTTTGCGGGAAATTTGTGCACTTTTTGCGGGAAAACTGTCGACATTTTTGTTGAATTCAGAGCAGTTTTGGAATTTCCTGCGGGCATTTCTTCAAAAAAAACATGGGCGTTCTGTTTTTTTTACAAATTCAGAAAAAAAACAGTCTGTTTCAACGTCTATAGTCTATAGCGGTCTGGTGTCTCCCATCCAACAAAGATTGCTTTTAGCGTCGCACCAAAGCCTTCTTTGAGCGCTTTAGTTGTTTTGTCATATTCTTCACCAATTTTCACCAACCGGTAGATTTGTTTTTCTTGCCGTCTGCTTAGCAGGTACACTTTGTTTGTCAACATGCAGAAACTCCCATCTAGCATGCCAAGATACGTCAAGTCAGCTTCATTCTTGCAATTTCATGTTGTTCTAGTGTGTTTCTGAACGATTGGTCCAATTTGAACTATTTGCGGCATTTGCGGTTTTTTGCGGTCATTTGCGGCCAAAAGCCCAAAAGTACAGAAATTATTGAACGTTGGAAGGTCTAGGATAATATATTCATCATATGATTTCGTCATGTGAAATCATCATATATTCATCATATGACATCATCATATGACATCATCATATGACATCATCATCATCATCATCACCACCATCACCATCATCATCATCATCATCGTCATCCTCATCGTCATCATCATCATCATCATTGCCATCGTCCTCGCCATCGTCCTCGTCATCGTCATCATCATCATCATCATCATCATATAGATATATATATATATATATATATATCATTGGTTCTATCCACATCGTTCGCGTGACCAGGTGCTGTTGCCAGTGCTCACCTCCGTGGCACGGATCTTGTGTCGCGAAGTCTCGCCCAAAGAGGCGCGACGGTGGTCTCAGGATTCAGTGGCTCTAATTATGTTGATATAGTATAATATAAATAATCTAATTTTATATTATATTATATTATATCATATGATATTAATATATATATATATATACATATTTATAATTATACATTATATATATATGGGTAAATCATGGCGTGACCTCACGTCGTGACCGAACCTTGGAATCATTGTGAATGTATAGGGGAATTATCCCCAAATGGCCGAACTATTCAGGTCCGAAGCAGTTGAAAACATCACTTCACTGAAATCTTGGTTTTAATATGTTTTAACGGGGTTAAGATGGGTGAAATATGTGTTGAGGGGTTGTTGAATAGCGGTTTGAATTCTGATTAAGAGGGGTTGGAATGAAGTGGTGTTGTCATGGGTGATACAGTAAATAATTGCTTTGATATGTTTTAATTATATCCTTCAAAATATTGTTGGAATTCGTTAAATATTGATGCCACGGAATTCGCATGATCAAATGAGTAAACATCAGTTCACTCAATATACAACATTATACAACCTGAAATTCAAGTAGTAACGTGAGTCAAGCATCAGTTAACTTGGATGACATACATTGTACTGGGAAGGGAACCCCTTCATTTTTGTAAACTTCCAGGACAGTCATGAAAAGAGGTCAGTATACAGAACCACTCCAATGAAATAGCAACTACCAAGCCTATAGCATCGGCTGCTGGGAGCATATCATTTGCCATGGGACATGACATGGGAGGTACTAGGTCATGTAAGGGAAAATTGGAGAGAATGTTCCATTAGGCCATGCACCTTCTGCACCTTATATATAGGCTGGGTACCTCCATGTTACCTGAAACTGTCATTGCGAGCTTGGTGGTCTTGAGCATCTTTAGTTTTTTGTCCTTTGGAACCATGATCATCCAAGATGACTTGTATTTCTCAGGTGGTTTGGCCAAGGTTTTGTTGAGTTGTACTGGGTTGTCTCCAAATTTTGGAACCCCTTTTTTTTTCCCATCGTTCCTTGTCATTTTCCCATGATACTTCCGTAATACTTCCCATGAATTGTGGCTGCTCATTTGGAAACATCGTTTAAGTGTTCAGCAATTCCTCATGTGTTCCTCGTATTTCCTAGCCACGTTTTGCCCGTAGAATCCACCAGGTCACGTTCTGTTCGATGGTACCCTCTGGTAAACTGTCACATAACTATGGAAAGATCCACCATTTTATAGCTGGGTAATGCTGGGTAAATCGACTATAAATGGCCATTTTCAATAGCTATATGTATATATATATATGAATTTACCAGAGGGTAATGGATCCGGTGGTCGTTGTGATCCTCTGAGTTTCCTTGTTCCCTCCACCGCTTCAAGGCGGTGTTTGAGGTTTTGGCCCTCCCGCCATGGACAGAGAGCGCTTGAGGTGGCCGCAGGTTGTGTGAAAATGTCACCTGATCTTTTCTGGAAATGAATGAAGAAGAACATATCTTTTCGAGCACGGCGAATTGATTTGTTTGAACATATTGTGATGTGTTTCTTTACTATAAGATCTCTTAGACAATCAGGAAGAATTGTTTTGCGGATATTGAGTTCTGCTCAACCAACGTGCAACTATGAAGATCATGGTGAGTCACCATTCTGCAGCCAAAGGACAGGTGGTTGACAGATGACTTTCCTATTGCCGGCCCTGGGGTCCTGAATCAAATGATGGGTGTTCACAGCTGTCAATCAAAACCATCAGGAATGGAAGCAATAATCAATTGAGATACCTGTGCCTTCAATTTGCCAATCTATTTTTGTTGGTATTTCACTCTAATTTCAGTAGCATTCTTATATAATCTTCATTGGTGAATTGAGGTCAAGGTGTATTGGATGTTTGCCGCGGTTCTGCCATTTGGTTCCCCATATTGCCGCACATATTACTGTATCATCTGCAGCACTCAGCAGGTTTCCACTACGAGCACGGCGGACATGGCTACGCTTTCCATCGATTTCCAACGTCTTCATGTCGACCGCCGGTTTTAAGTGGCGCGCCGCCCATTTTTTCCATTGCCCACAGCACGACCAACACAACAATGCCACATCAATGTTTGGTTGAAACTCTGGGGGGCCGAGTAGTTTGAGTTTGGCACAGGCAAAGATAAGTTGTTGCTGCCTTTGTTCCAGAGCATCTTTCACAATGTGTGGACGTTGTGTGTTTTGGCCTCTGCATGTGGTTCAATTCAGTGCGATGTCTTCCCAGTTTTTCCGGTTCCTGGCTGCAGTTGCTTTGCCCGGAACCCTTTGCAGAATATGGGTTGCAAGACGACTTTGCGTTATATTAAGGGTTGTGTTCACTCTCTGGGCCAAGCCGCAATCATTGTACTGGGTAGACTCTGGTTTGGTTGGTAAACCAGCTTTATTTCTTGCAATGAGGATGGGAATATGGTATAACATGGTATTACCAGCGAAAGAATAGCTTCTGCAAAGTATCTAAGGTCAGCTCTAGACTCTTCGAGCTCAAATGCAGTCATGCAATATTAATGTCATGCAACCATCAGGGCGAATGGACGACAAGTCCCTAGCCCCCTGTGAAGTATGTAGCCACTGGCCACTGCTGCGCTTGCCGCGATTCGCGGCACCAATCGTTTTGTACCTTCCCCGGCAGCATTTTGTCGCGTAAAAAAGTCTCAGTGTCCTCAGAACCTGCCAGGTGAAGGTCTCTACAAAGTGGGGCCCCTGTTTACGATCGCGAAGTTGGTGAACATATAACTCCAGTATCAATAACTGTGCTTTCTGATACTTATAAAGTCTTATAAAATCTTATAAACTTATAATATACTATTTGTTTAAGGGGTAGATTATTGATGTCAACTTGTCCTTCCTTCCGTCCTAGAGGACAAGCTCATGATTCAACTGGTTGAGGGGTTGAGATCACCAAGCAGTGAGAAATTTGCCCAGGTCAAGGCTCCAGAAGAAAATTGTGTTTAGATGGGAAATCATCCACTTAAAGTGTAAACAATACGACGACTAATCGATGGTTTGGAATCATTGAATATACATGAATATACAGTATAATGAACTAATAGTTCTAAGTTACTATAATGAACTAATAGTATATTACAATGAACTAATAGTTACTAGAATCATCTATAATCATCAGCAGTTCTTGAAATGAAGTGATGGTTTCTGGCTCTGAAAATCCAGGATCCCATACCACCCAAGCCACCAGGGATGTGCACGAAACACTGTAAAGCGATAGACCCCCAAAAAAAACGATAACCTGGGACCGTACACGACAGTCCATTGAACTTGGCGCAAGCCAAGCACATACTGTTGTGCACATTCACCCAACAGGCAAAACCGATGAGGGAAATTCAACCTATGGTGCCCTGTTTCCTGCAGTCACCATATCATTTGGCATCCAACTCGATCGCTCTTTTCTCTCTTTCTCTCTTTCTTTCTTTCTTGAGTCTTTCTTTCTTTCTTTCTCTCTTTTTTTCTTTCTTGATTCTTTCTTTATTTCTTTCTTTCTTTCTGTCTGTCTGTCTGTCTCTCCCTCTCTCTCTCTCTCTGTCTGTCGTTTTGTGGAAAATATCTGGAAAATATCCTTGAAAACAATGTAACAATGTGATATGTTGTAGGGGTTATTTAGCGATAACTTAGCGATAACCATTTGTTGCACTCGGTCCCCTGGCCAAGCCATAAACCCATTTCCCTTAGGAAGGAAATGAAAGGAAATGAAAGGAAATGAAATGAAAGGAAATGAAAGGAAATGAAAGGAAATGAAAGGAAATGAACAATTAGTGCAAAATCAAAGGAACATGCATGCAAATGAAAGGAAAAATAAAGGAAATGACTGCAACATGAAAGGAACATGAAAGGAACATGAATGCAAAATGAAAGCAACATGAAAGTTGCCGAAGCATCTGAAACCAACAAAACAACTCCTCGATCGATTTCCGAGCCTGTTTAGGAATGGATTTTGGCTTCATTTTGGATCTCGAATATGCTTATTTCATCTTATTTCTTCAAAACCCTGGAAAGCGATAGGCCCCCCCAAAAGCGATAACCATAACAAAAGCAACTACCCAGATGTAAAGGATTTTGACGGGAGAGCATCTATATATATATATATATATATGTTTTTTTTTTCATGGCTGTAGTTCCTAAAAATCATCGCTGTCAGCGAATTTTTGGCCTGTTACATCCCACGATTTTTTGTTGAACTAGCATGGTAGAGTTGGGGTGATCCTCCAGGTAGTCACTCATTGGTTGAAACCAGGTAGTGCTTTCGGAAGAAATGTTGACATCCAGGGACATGAGATTTGGTCCACGCTGGGTTTAGAACTGTCTCGAAGAACAAAACCCAAATCCCCATTGAGGAGCTTGTTGAAGATCAATAATGGTTGTTGAGGTTTATAATAAACAACCCAAATCTCAAAGATCATCATTTGGTTGTTGATGTTCCTAGCTTTGTTCAGTGCTATTTTTGGCCCAAAAAAGACTGCAAACCGCTTAACTGAGTGGTTTGCAAGAATATGACATGACCAAATTCTGTAGCTGTTTTGATCCAGACTGCGATCCATACAGGAATTTTGTTTGCATCAATAAACTGAGAAGGCTGACGCCTAGGCTGTCCAAGATTATTTTACCTGATGTCCCACAAGAACTTTATAACTTTCAGCCGTGGAACCCATCACGCCAAGCGTCCTGGTACCCCTTGATCAACGCCATGGATTGACGCGTTCTCATGGTGCCGGAGGTTCCGGGCATGGGGGCATGGGGGCACGGGCGGATTGATATGGGGTACCTCCAAGTCATCCAAGTCAGACCAGAAACCCATGGTGACTTGGGGATCCCCCAGTTTAGGAAACTTATGAGCAAGGGTCAAAAGACGCTATGAAAGGCTTCCATTACGATCCGCCATCACTACTCAAAATATGTGATTTACTGCGTGTAGCGATAGGGGGCCTTATGTAGCGATACCTCTTTTTAGACTCTGTTTATGATTGAAGCTTCCTGTTGGGCACATGACTTTCCAATCTTTTGATGTCAGAGCGCGACACTGGAGCAGTCGCAGTGGGCTGGTCTTCCTGGATAGTTGCAAGATGGCCTGTCGTCAAGTATATATGAGATAGTTACATTAAACAATATTGATATATTGGGGTATGTTGATCTATAAGGTATGCAAGAAACTAATTCATAATGCATCATGAGCTTGATGATGGTGATGATGCTGATGATGTTGATTCAGATAGTGACCGTGCTGAGATATGTTGAAAAAGCATCCTTGTGCGGTCACGGACACTTCTCCAAAGCCACTGTCCAGGAGTAGAATTGCAACATGGAGCTTGTCAGAATTTCATGTCACTTGAAACATACACCTGAGATCACACATTTTCTGGTCCCCGTAGCGATGCCCGAAGCGATACCCCTCGATACCCAGAGCGATACCTGAAATCCATGAAATTAGGGAGTACCCCACATGGTCACTTGAAACTATACAACTTGTGCTATAGGTGGAAAAATATGGGAAGTATGAACAAGGGTACCCTCAAGTTCTTACTGGGTTAGTTCTTAAAGGGTTCATTTGGTCAGGGTTTTGCCGATTCATTTTGGCGTGGTATTAGGTTGCAAAGGAGGCGGGGTGAAGAAAAAAAGGCGCCGGAAACAAGGCAGCACAGGCAAGACAAGCCAAGACAAGCCAACACAAGCCAAGGGCAGCCTCCGAGGTCAGATGACCTGCAGTGAGTCCGGCTGGTGTCTAGCTGAAGCTGTCGACGTCAGCCTTGGTGATCACATAAAAGTTTGAATTTCCCTGGAGATACCATCGCAAGGGGAATAAGAATCCGATTCCTCATCTGGATCCTCCTCTTCTAGCAGCAATTCTGCCTAGTTGGTGAAAAGGGTGCTGGGACTGTGTGTAGCGATAGGGGGCCTTATGAAGCGATGCCATGACCTCACCACATGAATTGAGTTTTGACCGTCGCACATATGTGTTTAACAGTATCCAGCAAAAATCACACGGGCTATACAAGAGAAATCAATGGCTGAGTATATATCCCAGCAGCCGTTGTTTGAGGGAAGTATGCAAGATTTGACCACAGTTCAACAATGTGAGCAGCCGTATGGTTTCGTGATGATTTATCGAAAAGCGATCCACGGATGTGAGGGTTGATGACTGTGGCTTTGCAATTTGTAAAATGCTTTGCATGAGGTTTACAACAAGTAGTAAGTACACGTAGGACATTATTAAGACATCGAGATGTCGTGTCGACCATGCCCTGCGCTAAGAACTCCAGCATTGAGCACAGTACAAGTTAGGTCCAAAGGACTGAGACCCAGCTGACCACAGAGTGACTGGTCATTTTCTTTGAAACCATCCCCATTTTGGGGTGTGTGAAAGATGTTCTGCCAAACATGGGCATGTATCCACTTACGAACAAGAATCCACATCCACTTGAAGCATTCTGAATTCAAGATATTAACGACACGTTGGCACGTTGGTCCCTATAGTATAGATCCCTATCATAGACGAATCACAGATGAACATGGTTAGAACCTTCAAAGTGTTGCCCCCTAAGAGGGTTCACCACTTGTTGCAGGAGAGAAATTTGCTGCTTCGTAGTTTGCATTTTGTTTGGCACTCAGAGGGTCTTCCCTTCCAGCTCGTTGACTCTAAGAACTCTGGTAAGCTGGCTTGGTGTATCACTAGGTTGGCTAGGATGTCTGGTGGATAGTGGATATACAACTTCTATACCGTATCCATCCGTATCCTATAGTTTGATGGGTTCATGAACCAACATATGACTGGAGGCACTGCATGGGTCATGGGTCATTTTTTGTCAAAACGCCCAGGAGAGGCTTCAGAGGCCGCGACTCTGCCCTGCGCTTGGGATGGGGTAAATTAAACTTCGGGTACCCTCTGGTAAACTAACATAACATATAGCTATTGAACATGGCCATTGATAGTTGAAATACACATTAAATATGGTGATTTTCCATAGTTACGTTATCTCTGTGTTCTTTGGGGGTTGTAGACCTACACTTGCAGCATGACTAGCCTTTACAAAGGTTCCTGTACGAGTTGACATGTGTTGATAGATGGAAAGAATCCTGAGCAG